GCCAGAAGTGTCCCTGTGACGCGGACCGTGGCGGACGGTGCTACAACTGCGGTGGCACGGAGCATAGGTCCCGGGACTGTGTGGCGGCCCCTAAGTGCCCGGTGTGCACCAACCTGGGTAGGCTGGCGAACCACCGTCTGGGCAGCAAAGGCTGCGCGCCTCCACCGTCCCGACGTGGGCGTAAGGGACGCGGAGCACCTACAGCACCGGCAGCAACGGCGACTTCGTCGACATTGCCGAGGGTGAGCCAGCTGACGCGTTCGGCTGGCTACTCGCCTCCGGCGCCACTAGCGCCAGCGGAGGAAGAAGGAGGATCCGGCCGGGGGGAGGCCATGGTCACGGACTAATATTCACCGCCACGGTTAGGATCCTCCAAGCCAACCTCAACCACTCGGCACGGGCACAGGACCTGTTTGTCCACAGCCTGGCCGAGCTGGGGGTGGGGTTGGCAGTCGCCGCGGATCCGTACCGTGTCCTGCACCGCCCCGATTGGGCGGGGGACGCGCTGGGCTCCGTGGCGATAGTTAGTGACAGAGCCGCGCCCATGAGCGTCTTGACGCGCGGGCGCGGCTTCGTCGCGGCGCTGTATGGGCGCCTCGCGGTGGTCGGAGTTTATGCCCCTCCGAGCATGCCCCTTGCGTCATTCGAGACGTTGTTGGACGGGATCCGGGACTTTGTGTCCCGCGACTCGACCCGTCCAACACTGATCCTGGGGGACTTCAACGCGAAGTCCACCCTTTGGGGAAGCCCCAGGACTGACGCGAGGGGTGATGCTGCGGAGGAATGGGCGGCGAGCGCGGACCTTCGGCTGCTCAACCGAGGGTCTGCGAGCACGTTCGTGCGGTGGCAGGGAGAGTCGATTGTCGACCTCTCTTGGGCAACGCCCCCCGCCGCACGTATCGTGTCGGGGTGGAGGGTGGCGGAGGAGGTGGAGTCGCTCAGCGACCACCTCTACATCGTATTCAATGTTTCCGCCACCCCTCGACACCGCCCCGCTCTCCGCCCGGACGACCGCCGCGTAGATGGGCGCTCAAGCGCCTGGAGGAGGACGCGCTGATGGCAGCGGCCCTCGCCGTGTCCTGGCCGGGGGTTCCGGCCGGATCGGTCGCGGACGTCGATAGGGAGGCCGAATGGCTCTGGGAGGCAATGGCGGCTGCGTGTGACGCAGCCATGCCCCGGGTCAGGAAGCCCCCTAGACGGGCCACGTATTGGTGGAGCGACGAGATCGCTGCGCTGCGTGACGTGTGTCACGCGGCGCGGCGCCGCTTCACCAGGGCCCGCCGTCGGCGGAACCGCGACTTGGCGGGGGAGCGCGAGCTCTACGGGGTCTACCGACGAGCGACGGTGGACCTCCAGAGCGCCATCAGGGAGGCCAAATCCCGTGCCTGGGGTGAGCTCCTCGAGACGTTGGACCCTGACCCGTGGGGGCGCCCGTATCGCGTCGTCCTCGGACATGTGCGGCCGGCGGGGCCCCCGGTCACGGAGTCTCTTGACCCCCATGCTCTCGAGCGTGTCGTTGAGACCCTCTTTCCGGACGATCCGGATGAGGGCTCGCGGCCGCTCGAGCCGGCGGACCCGTCCAACTGGTCCGCCGAGCTGGGGGTCACGCAAGAGGAGCTCGCGGCGGCCGTCAAGCGCCTCGGGGCCAATAAGGCTCCGGGGCCTGACGGCATCCCCGGGTGGGCGCTGAGATTGGCCTCACGCGTCCTCGGGCCTCGACTCATGCGGCTGTTTGACGGCTGCATGATGTCGGGGCGGGTCCCGCTTCCCTGGAAGCGGGGGCGGATGGTTCTCGTCCCCAAGAAAGGAAAGCCCGCGGACTATCCTTCCGCGTACCAGCCGATATGCCTCCTCGACGAGGCGGACAAGCTCTTCGAGCGCGTGCTCGCTGCCCGCCTGTCGAGGGGCATGTCCGGCGGTGGTCCCGGTTTGGCAGACTGCCAATACGATTTCCGCGAGGGACGGTCTACGCTAGACGCGATAGACCACGTGCGCTCCCTCGCGGACCGAGCAGTTTCCCGCGGTGGTGTGGCGTTGGCGATCAGTTTAGATATCGCCAAGCCTTTAACACCATCCGCTGGGACACGATCTGGGAGGCACTCCGAGACCACGGGTTGCCTCCGTACCCCAGGACTCCGGGGTGTGCGTTTTGGCAATTCCCCCGCGTTAAAAAAAAAAAAAAAAAAGGAGAACGACTTCAGGCAAACAAAGACACGGTGGTCACAAAAAGGTGCGCGACGCGGACGCGTCGTCCGCATGTACATGCGTATATTCTTACGACACAGAGAGCATGGATGCGCCGAGTCATGAAAAGCATCGAAATTTTCAACAGATAGTAAAGTAGGATACGGACTAGGAGTGTCCTGTCAGGGGAGCATGTGAGTGTCCAGTACTCGGGATACGAAGACGGTCCGTGAAGGGGGGAGATGGAGGAGTGAGCGGGCAAAGTTTGACTCAAACACCCAGTCACAAAAACCCTACCTCAGACCCCCCGAACAAGGACATAATTGAGCTGCGGGACCTGCCGAATCCGGACGGAGGCGATGGGCAAACCACTGATGGGACCGGGAGACCACACTCTTACAGCTGGACCATGGAGTCGGTGGCCAAGGGCGTGAGGCCATACCAACCTAGAGAGGACATACACACGGACCATTCAGGGATGGAGACAAGCCATAGACGACAGGATCGATTATCCGGGCCGGAAGGACCTGGGAGATTTGGGCAAAGCTTCTCACGAAGCTCTATCCGCAACTACCTAAACTACGTACCGTGTGGCACGGGTGCAATACCGACCAGTGGAGCATATACTGGTACATCGAATCTCGAAAGGATGGCGGCCATTACTTTGCGAGATATCGGCCCGAACAACCCTGCGACCATCGTATTTCAGGAGGCAATCCATGTGGATGAAGCACCGGACGTAAAGCATGGCACTGCTAAAATCAGGCCTCATCCGTAAGGGCACGTGTCGCTAAAACCATGACCCCGGAATGACGTTAGTTAGCGACGGGTCATGGAACGCTTGGCAGACGTTGCAACGTACCGTGTTACGTCCGACAGAGAGAGCATCAACCCTAGGGCGAGAGTGCATTTTATAAGTAACCCAGAACGTGGGTGGTGGTCCCTGATGAAACTGATATTCACCCTCTCGAGGGGAATTTCAGAAAAGTCCGATGGGTCATTATTTTGCGTCGCGTTCCTAGCATTTTTCCGAGGGCGGGGGGTAAGGGGCAGAATAGGTCGGTGGAGTGGGGAAAACGTTAAAGGGCGCAATCTACTTTAATCGTCTTTTGGCTATCTTAAATGCACACCCAGCTGTAGTGAGATGGAATTCAATGGCGATGAATACATTTATAGAAAATCGCACTATCCGGGGGATAAGATCGTGCGAACCCGGTCACATCCCTATTAGGGGCTAGTTAGCAAGGCCTCCCTATCTACCTACTAATTGGAGCACCGGTGCTTCCTCCTTATCCTGTGGGACGGGGGGTTGTAGCTTGAAAGGTGTACGCAGAGGAGGGGGGATTCCTGAGCTATTCGGGACATAGACAGGTCATGTTAGAAGGTTGAAATAAGCGATCTAGATCTCTCTCGTTTGGAAGAAGTATCACGATGATATCCCCATTTGTACAGACTCGGTCTACGGGTGAAGATAAGAGTGAGCTAGAACTCACCTTGAGGAGACGAAAGATCGGTTGCTCCGACGTCCAACTTCATAGCTCTAGATTTAGGTAGGGATAGGACGATCCTAATGACACTCCGCCCCCGCACGAGTACTTCCCGACCTCCAAGTGACCCGGGTCTAATAAAGTTGGAACGGTTGAAAAGTCAGAGTAAAAAGCTCCCCGGGTAATGCCTACCCTAGTCCCAATTGCGGGACTTTACGAAAGCTAGTGCGCATGAGCCGAGCTAAGGCTTTAGAGGGCGATACCGAAATCCTCTACCGGGGGATCACGTTCCTAACTAACTAACTAACTAGGGCCACCGACCGTTTGGTAAATTTATTTCAAATACTGAAATAAATGTTGAACTGAATGTTAATTTCGCGTAAATTTCAATAACTCCGAGACTATGTGGTAGAAGGTCTTTCTCTTACATTACTTTTTCCCCTAGCGGAAGCCGAGTTTGCTTGCGAGGGTACAAGCACAACGCTATCGCGAGAGTTCAGCCGGCAGATTCACGCTCTGATTCGTCGGGGATTTTCGTTAATATCTCATTAACAAAACCTCGAAGAACTTTTTTGCTAAAGAAAAAGTTGTTTCAAATCATTCCGGGAATCGCCCTTTTTAAGAACTTACACTTATTTTGGGGCACCATCATAAACCAACTTAGAGAAAATGATACATCAAAAAGTGTCGCTGGCTTCCGAACTATTATGGACAGTAATGCACGTTAAACTGTTGCATATTGTATCAGATTTGATTTTCATATTTTACACATAATAATTGTACAGCGCACGGTTATACGTGACCTAGATACATCTATACATAATTGGAGGACAAGGAATTTCGTTTCGGACAGCCCATGGAAGTCAGACGTAATAACGATGGCGGTATGGTAAAGAACTAAAATTGAAAGTTCTGGCACGAATTTTATTCCGAGATTTACAACAAAAATGTCTCAACTAGTTAAAATGCCGCTTAATTCTGGGATATGAAACATTGACACGTATATTAACATAGGTAATACAAGATGATGTGGACAATTGAATAGTTTGCAATGAGAACTGATAGAATAGATTCATTCTCTATTTACTTAGTGTTGTGTTTGCGTGTTCGGATAGGCCTGCTGTGCTTCCCAGAGAGGCGGGTTTCCTCAATAATCTAAAGACAAGATTCATTTTAGCTGATAAATGGAACAACTAATCCTCTCTGGGCAGCCCATACTCAATTACTATTTTTATCACTTCTATCATGATATTATAATTTAGGTACAATCTTAATTATTCAATATTAATGAGAATATTAATAATTATATTTTTATTTTTTTTTGTTTCTGCATGAATTAATTATAGATCGTAATTATAATTACTTTATAAAGTTTCCTTACACTAAGAGTCGTCAGACATGAAGGAATTTTGGGATTTTAGCTCCTCCAGCGTTTGTATTTGCTGACGGAGAAATAATATCCTGAAAGATCGAAGAAGATACATTAAGCATGGCTGTTCGACGAAGAACAAATTCTGTAAAGCAATCGAACGGAAATACCTTTGTTCCTGTAAGGTTGCCTGAATTTCTGTCAGCCTCACTATCGACCGTGCCGTTTTTAACTCTGCCGACACTCTTGTACACTGCAAGCTTCCCATTGTATGTGCTTCTTCGCTAAGTTTCTGTGCCTGCAAGTCCAATTCGTTCACACGATAGAATGATTTACACTGGACCGTGGATATTTGTGCGAGTACGTACGTATGTATCTTTACAGAATAAAGTTTCAGGCTCCTTACAGTGTGTAACGCATCGGGATCCCAAAAAAACATATCATACAATATACAAGCATATAAGGGTGGCACACATAACTCTTAACAGCTCAATATCTCGAAAACTATGCCATCGATTTTAAAGTTCTTGGTCTTAAATTGCATGAAACTGAAGGGCCTTTCTAACTACATAAACGTGAAGTGACCACCCTTTCCCCTTTAAGGGGGAGTGGGGGTACCTTTATAATTTTAAATGGAACCCGCTATAAAACGTTAGATATTTAGATTCTACAGGAAAAAAACAAATTTTGTCTGAAACATTTTTTTGTCAGATATTTCCATGATGAGATATAACAGTTTGCGCTTCAGTGACTCCCGAAATGTTAACAAATATTGGAACAACTTTGATGTTTCGACTAAATAAATGTTTACAAGCCCGTGGTGGACATTTTGAACATTTAATTTAAAGAACATTTTATTTCTTCACAAATAAGCGAAGGACTCAAGCGCGTATAATTCAATAACGCAATTTCCGAGCGCTTCAAGTAAGTACATACAAGTCGAAACTTCAAACTGTTATATCTCATCATGGAAATATCTGACAAAAAAATGTTTCAGACAAAATTTACTTGCTTTTTCCTGTAGAATCAAAATATGTAACGTTTTATAGGGGGTTCCATTTAAAAGTATAAAGGTACCCCGCCCCCCCTTAAAGGGGAGGGGGGGCACTTCACGTTTATGTAGTTAGAAAGGCCCTTCAGATTCATGCAATTTAAGACCAAGAACTTTAAAATCGATGGCATAGTTTTCGAGATATGAGCTGTTACGAGTTATCTGGGCCACCCTGTATATTCAAGGACGAACAAATAATGCTGTATATACTTTATTTTATATTATAAATAAAAAAGCCTGTTCCGGCTATACAAACATCATGCGAGCATATATTTTCTAATGCAGGAAATAGTGTTACAGTAACTAAATCAAAATTATAACCGGACAATGTTGAGAAATTATATTTTTTGCATTATAATTTAAAATAAAGTATATGTATATAATGTTACTCGATCATCTTTGAATGTACCTGTGTATTGTGTATGATATGTACTACGTTTACTTTCGTGGTCTCAGTACGTTCATACGCAGTCAGATAGTTTTGGAATCCCAATACGCTCGTATTGAGATCTCGGAAACACTTCTCGGATCGATGCTCATGCGGATTCTGAATGAATCGCGCACTAGCCACGAACGAGCATCGCGCGAGTAAATCAGCCCACATTTGATGTTCGTTTGGGAAAAATTCTCAGGCGTATACGCGGCCCTACCCGTACACAGAACATTCCCTGTTTATTTATGACTAGGTTGAACGGAAGGTCTTTTCTCTTTTTTCAGGATAATATAAACAAAATTGTCAAAGGTGATATGCAAAAATGATTTTCTATAAATTGGTCGATTCATGGAGAAGCTCAGTGAGTTCAAATGCATTCTTAACTCTTTGACTGTGGACTGCTCAGAAACAAAACGTATCAATCGGGTAGCGTCCACTATAAATGAACGTCAAGCATTGGACACCAGTAACTGCTGCTCGCAGTCAAAGAGTTCAAATACTTTGTCATTCGAAAATGGTTGGAAAATTTTATGGGTGTATTCCTCGCTCGCAGATCATAAATGAAAAAAGAAAACTGTATTGAATGTTAAACTACGTACTTGAAAAAGGCAATGGTAAACATTAGAGTAGACACTTAAGTCTACGAATATCATTTATTTATATCACTACCAAACCATGGAAACGTAAACAAGATTTGAAACATAAAACATTTCAAATTCAAATAACGAAATGTTTGTGAAGTGTCAGCAACATAGCAGGATACAATTTAGAAAAAAACATATTTCAAATACTATTTAAAATAATACATGTTATACAGTTTAAACAAAGTAATATTTTAAATAGGAAGAGAAATTTCGCAAAATGGAACTCTCATTTTAATAACCTGAAACATACAGTGAAATACCTTAATCTTAAATTTTAAGTATGCATTTCAAATATTCCTTGACATTGAGAATGGGATAAGGGAAAGTGTGATTTAAACAAGAGATAAAAAAATCATTTACACCCACAAACAAAAATTAAAATAGAATAGACTACTTGCTACTTAAAATATACAGGGTGTCTCAGCTAACTTGATCACCTCGAATAATGACTTAATGGTACAATTTAGGGTTAGGGTCATTCCACGCGAAATCGGACACTTTGGAGCACCATTTCGGATGTTGTCCAAATTTGGACATGTTGTAGTCTTTAGCGATATATAAACGTATCTCGAAGGATTTTTAAAAATTTTTTTAACTGTTGATTATACGGCTGTTTGAAATGTAGGGTCAACCTTTTTTTCAATAAACCGTAACTATTGAACTAACAAACTGATCAAAATGAGCTTTGTGGGTATTACAGTGGAGGCATAAGAGCACCAAATAAAAATGATTGCTTACTATCTGGAAGCTCCATAGGTGCTCCAACTGATGCCCCTCAACTTCAACACAGCGATGCAGTTTGTTTCTTAATGAAGAAACAGCATTTTTAATTGTTTCTGAAGTAAGTATATCACACGCTTCTTAAATTCTTTGTTTTATATTTTTTTGTGTCGTTGGTGCTGTAAAATACACTTTATCTTTTAAAGTTTCCCACAAGAAAAAGTCTAGTGGCGTAAGATCCAGTGAACGCGGTAGCCATGGAAGCTCTCCACCGCGACCGATCCCATCGATTCGGAAATTGTCTCTGCAATGCTTGTCGTGATTCTTTTGCATAATGTGCAAGACAACCATCATGGTGAAACCAAATTGATAGGCGGATATGTAATGGTACATCTTGTAACAGACCTGGTAATATCTCCGTAAGAAAACTTGTGTATTTTCGTCCTGTTAAATGTCCATCAATGAAATATGGTCCAATTATTTTAGCATTCAGTATACCACACCACACATTGGTACTTCATTGTCGTTGGTGATCAACTCTTCTAATCCGGTGAGAATTGCTTTGTGACCAATAATGGATGTTTTTTTTAATTAACATCCTCTTGGTTCGTAAACGTCGCCTAGTTCGTAAATAAACATTATGTAGGAAAGAATCACTTCTGTATATTTATTGGAACGGTTTCTGACAAAATCGAACGCGGTTTTCGAAGTCGGTTCCATATAACTTCTGATGAAGTTGCACATGATATGGATGAAATTTTTCAGTTTGAAGAATTCGATGTACACTAGCTGAACTAATTCCCGAACCATTGCTATGACAGCAGTAGCATTACCTTTATTAACAATGGGTTTGGTACGGTTACGTTTAGTGATATGGAAAGCCCCAGTTTTTCGAAGGCATTGACAACCTACCTTTCAAACATACATCGAGATGCTGGATTACGCTGAGGATATTTTTCAGCAGATACATTTCTTTCGCTCTTGTTGCCTTTTTACCGCAAGCACCATAAACTGGCAGCATATCTACACACTCAATATTACTGTATTTCATTTTCAATTGTATTTGATTTGCATTTCCGAGGACTCGCAAATGCACATCGAAGATACATATCTTCTACAATACTGAACTAAATGTTAGGAAAGCGACTGTAGTATACTATAAGTCGATAACATTTCTATTGATAAACATTGACACGTAAACGGGTTGTGTTAAAGTTGTGGGCCATCAGTTCGAGCACCTACCCGTAGCTTCCAGATAGTAAGTACGTATTGGAAATTATTTCATTAAGATCTCGTTAACTACTGTGTTTACGATGTATGAAGGTCAACACATTTTTACTCAACATTCGATACTTTATCGAGCTATGGTACAAAAAAATTGGTCAACCGTTAAAAAAAAATCAAGAATTTTCTCCTATGCCTCTCACTCTAATAGTCTCCAAACTCGCACCCGACAAAGGAAAACGTCCTTACGTTTCGTTATCTCCCGAGTAAACGCGGTAGTAGGAACCCGTTCCCACGGTGTGGTGATAAAAAAACTAGGAAGCGTGACACAACCTCAATCGTCGGAGATTTTCTTATATGGAAATTTTATAGTATCCCCATCAATTTCTGGGCCTGTATAAACCTGTAGATTTCAACCCTCTGGAGATCAGAACTATACCGTCGCCTTTAGAGTCACGTCGCGTTACGTTCTTGTGAGTTGGTCATTATGTTAGTGAGATCGGGCTAATGTGTTCCCTTTCGAATCCAGTTAACCTTGTAATAAACCGCGAACACTTTGTTTGTAATCCGGCTAGAATTATTATTTTGCATCATTCCGTAGAATCCACTCGTAACCCCCGCATCGCCAGTGCGTTAACACCGAGCACACGTTCATTCGGTAATAGTTATTATTTTCTTATTACTTACTACTACGCGACAACACTACACAACACATTTGTAACCAAAGACTGATTAGTTAATATACAGTTAGTTTATACATCTGTGTAGTTAATTTTGAACCCATAACACAATCCAGAAATCATTAGTATTATCGATATACTAGTTTCCTCTAGTTAAAAATAATATAAGACAGAAGTTACGAGGCACCAACTAATATTTCCTAACGGCTCCCGGATTTCGCATCAGGTTCGTCTATGCATTACATTTATCCAAGAGTATTTCCAACCCAGTGGCTTCCCGATTTCGCATCGAGTTCGTTCACGAGTTTCACCTTCCTGCAGCTCCCTGATTTCGCATCAGATTCGTCCTCGCTTTCAAACATCCTAGCGGCTCTCTGGCTTTACTAACAAACTGATACCATATTCCTTGAAAAACCTACACTTGCCGGTCCCTCGCGTTGCTACGGCCCGGGCTCGTAACACACAAGAGAAGCACGTACCTTATAGGATGTGCCCCTTGATGCCATTTAAGTTCCACGCTTCAAAATTTTCATAAAGCGTACTGTTAAGTCATTATTCGAGGTGATCAAGTTAGCTGAGACATCGTGTATATAACTGTGCCAGCCTCTAGTTCTATTCCAAGTAAAGTTAGAGAAAAATCGTAGAAGAGAACTTTGCATTATTAAACAAAGTCTATCATCCGACTTATTACTTTTTTTACACAACCGCGTCACTGTACTTGCAAACTGCAATTGCGCGTTTTAAAAAAAATGGAACACTTGATTTTTTTTACATAAACGGATTCTTCGTGTCATGTTAAGAAAGTTCACTTTTTACATAATTACTATCTTTGCGTTGCATCATCACGCCATTACCGTATTTACTAAAACGTGTAAAAAATGTTTTGAATTTAATGTTGAAACGTTTCAGGACTTGTTTTAAGTTTTCGAGAAAAAGAATGACATATATCTCGTAATGTAATGTGTTCTCAATGACCTTACCTTTACCTTTCCTACGCAGAGAATGGCAAATGGAATCAATTTATGCGAAAAAATGTGTTCCATTTCTAAGAAACGTGCAATTGCAATTTGCAAGTGCACCGATACACTTGTAAATAGATAATACGGTTGGATGATAAAGCTTATTAAACAGTGCAACATTTTCATCCACGATTTTTTTCGAACTTCACGTGGAACAGAGCTATAATCAAGAATATTAGAAAACATTTCATGCTCGTAAAATCTTTAAAGAAAGTAATAAAGAACAATGAAAGATTACACTATGAGATTGAACGATTTCGTTTCCATAAGAAGAATATTATGACGTGTTGCGATTAAATCCGAGATACTATCCGTTCAGCCTAATATACTTAAAAATATGTGTTACCTGCTTTTCAAGGATGTCAGCGGGAAAGGCACGCACATGTTGCGTCAAATCTTCTCGATAGTGATTGGCAAGCGACGGTGTTAAAGAAGGTGTTAAGGGAGGCTGTACTCTCGACAATGCTTGTAAACCTGTATTACTTAAATTGCCGAGAGAACCTAGCGTGCTAAGACTTTGTAACGAGCTAAGACCTTGTACTCCGGAATTCGTTCCCCCAGGGCTTGTTACTGCGAAGAAAAAACAAAGATACAGATGTGCTACATGAAATTTGCATATATGTACGTGTTATTACTGTTGAAATTTTGGGGTGTAAACCGTATCCTTACCAAAAAATTATCCCATCAATCTAATGAAAACAAGCATTGCAGCTAGCTTCGTTAACCTCTTCAGGTAGTTCGTACCTGACTCTCCAGTCAATGAAGCATTATATTAATAATTGGTATTAAACACCCACTAATACATTTTAACAATGTTTAAAAATTACATCTATGAAATTCAACGACATTTCCATTGATCATTCATCATTATATTGTAGATAAAAAATATAATTTGGTTAGTCGTATGACTCCACGGTGCTTCTTTCTGGTACGTTTGGCAACATTGCTTTTGCACGCATATCTATATACGTGGTGCGTGTTCAGTTTTTCCACGTAGTCAATGTTCAATATTGTTATATGTAAAGTTAATTATATTCTCGTGTATTATAATTTAGAAACTTAGAATTTACTAAAACACAAAATAAATACAATATTTTTTAAATGTATTTATATTTCGCGAGTACGACCCTACTTCAGCAACATTGCCAAGTCCTTCACATAGTCCCAATAACCATCCAATAACCTACATATCCTGGACTTTATTGTCAAATATCTTCCTGAAATGTTCGGCATGGTACAAGATTTAGTTCATTATCAGAAAACTCAGGATTTATAGTTTCAGTGCCTAGTTTTTAGTTAGCACTTCTAATTTTTGCGAATAGGAAAAATTATACTTCCGGTAAGAAATCATAAGACTGCCATAAGAGCTGTGTTGAAAACTTAATTTTTGACAAGCATTTTCTTATTTATTTGATCGGCGATCGAGTCTCAAATTTTTTGTGCGTGTGTATTTTGTCTTAATAAACAATCTGTATGAACTTTATTTAATTATCTAATCTTTCGAATTTAGCACGAACCACCTTAAATGGTCTGAAGTGTTTTATGGGGCATCGTTTCCTGGTGGCGCGTTTTTTTTAGCGCTTGCGTATGTATACGTTATAGGCATGGTGTTAGGAAATATACATGTTTTTAAATGATGCGAATATATCCGTCATAGGCACTGTGATGTATGAATGCAGTTGACGAAAATATCCGTCATAGCCACTTAAGAGATTAAAGACTAAATGACACACTGATACTAATTAGTGTTCAAATACTGTGTACCTGTATATTGATATGGAATCGTGGTTGAATGTTTCGTGATTTGACCCTTGATGAATCTAACTGCAATGTTGGTGAAATATTAAGATAATAATTTGTACAAAAGGCTATGATTTGTGTTTCAAAAGTTTCAACAATAAGTACTGTATAACGCCACGCCATGAAAGCTTCAAATATTTTCTCTATTCCTTGTAAACATACGTTTTCGAGCATCGATGCAATCCTGGGTCTCTGAATGAGTGGGAGTAGGTGGTCCCTCGCTTGTTACCACACCGCTCGTGTCAACTTTCAGCGGCACCATTACGTCGTTTCCACTATTATTCCTGTCTCCGCTTGACGACTGCTAAAAACCAAACACTAATCATTATATTCAATTTCAATTATTATTTAATATCATTTGATACAGCTTCTATCTATCTATCTATACATAAACTAATACTTTTATCTAGAAATTAAAATGGATTCAAGATTGGACTATCGTCATTATAAATCAGCAAAACAATTGGAGCTGCTTCCTGAACCAAGGTTAGGAAACATAGTGTTTACGCTTCTACCTCAAAAAACAATTGCAACTTTTTCATGTCTTCACATACAAACTAAATAACCAACATTGTACATATGTCCTTACTTGTCGAGACAGCAAAATTGCGGCTGTTTGAAGTGTTTGCAATGCTTTCTGCGGTGTAATATCAGGCTGTTCTTTACTGCCTGTGATTTGAGATAATAGTCTGGGTAGGTTTGCTAATGAGACCGGTGGTCCTGGAGCATTGCTATTTCCTTGATGTTGCGTCGGTGAGTTAAGTTTCCCAGGTGTTTGCGGTGTAGATGGCGGATGTGATGTTAGTCGAGGCAATGCTGTAACAATTCATAAATTTAATTCTATAATTATTTCTTACAAAACACAAGAACTAAATACTGTAATAGATGTCTGTGTTCATGAATTCTATCATTTTTATTACTCTATTTACAGGAACACCTTTTGTGACAAGTATTTGTTGAAATGTTAACTAATCATTGATCTATTAATAAACTGTTTTGTTTTATCAACGAATTGTAGATGTTTGTACATATGATTACAGCATATGAGACAAAAACTATAATAAAATCCGATAATACATAATTTAAATAATCACTACGTAATCGCTAAATAAACTAAAACTTAGTTTTCCGAACATGAACTGTATTTGGTCGTAGAATGCAAAGGGCACCGTTCGGAAAGCACGACTGATATTGTTGAACTGATCCTCCCTCGTTAGGATCAATGTGGCGTAATAGGTCGATCCTCACTCTTTCATGGTCAATACTTTTTGGGAAAGAAAAACTGCATCAGAAAGTGTCTTGGAGGTCGCGTTTCTTTTCGTATATTCTTAGAGCAACATCTGTATTTTTTTCTCATACACCACTCGCGGCCTAGAGGCCACTTGGCCACGATGCCGAGGGTGTACGAGTCTGGACATTATAAAACTGTCTTTTGTCTTCTGCAGGACGACCACCCGCGGATTGCCTGAAACGTCTTAGTGCCATCGACGAAGACCTTGCCTATTGTGTTTTCAGCCGTCCCTCTTGACATTAACTTGTAAAAAGAACTTTCAACCTCGAATTCCAACTCCATGTTAGAAATGGTTCATATTACACCGAATGTATGTGTTTAACAATTTTATTTATTTTAGTTACTTAGTTTCTTCATGCATCGTAATGAAGGTGCGGCTAATTTCATCTTAGTTTCATTCTAACATCATTATACGTTTTCTATGATCCATGTTAATTGCATTTTTTTTTTGCGGATACAAGAACTTCAAACACTTGGAGCAAGATCGAAGTGGTACTAAAATGTGCATGCTCTTGCTACTGAAACGGAGCGCGCCGCTGTTTATGCCTGAAATATTGAATATGGACTTACTGTATGTTTTATGTCCATTGCACATTTTATTACCACTTCGATCTTACTCCAAGTGTTTGAGGTTCTAGTATCCGCAAAAATATGCAATTAACATGGATCATAGAAAACGTATAATGATATTAGAATGAAACTAAGATGAAATTTGCCGCACCTTCATTACGATGCATGAAGAAACTAAGAAACTAAAATAAATAAAATTGTTAAACACATACATTCGGTGTAATATGAACCATTTCTAACATGGAGTTGGAATTCGAGGTTGAAAGTTCTTTTTACAAGTTAATGTCAAGAGGAACGGCTGAAAACACAATAGGCAAGGTCTTCGTCGATGGCAGTAAGACGTTACAGGCGACAAGAGACAGTTTTATAATGTCCAGACTCGCACACCCTCGGCATCGTAGCCAAGTGGCCTCTAGGCCCCGAGTGGTGTATGAGAAAAAAATACAGATGTTGCTCTAAGAATATACGAAAAGAAACGCGACCTCCAAGACACTTTCTCATGCAGTTTTTCTTTCCCAAAAAGTATTGACCATGAAAGAGTGAGGATCGACCTATTACGCCACATAGATCCTAACGAGGGAGGATCAGTTCAACAATATCAGTCGTCCTTTCCGAACGGTGCCCTTTGCATTCTACGAGCAAATAGAGTTCATGCTCGGAAAAATAAGTTTTAGTTTATTTAGCGATTACGTAGTAATTATTTAGTAATGTCGCGTATGTCGGCGTTATAAATAGTGCAAATTACTTATTGTAAGTTTTATTCATTATTGTAGGTTTTATTAAGTATTGTAGATTTTATTAATTATTGTAGGATTTATTAAATATTGTAGATTTTATTCATTATTGCAAATTTTATTAAATAATGTAGGTTTTATTAATTATACCGTGTTAAAAATTAGTATAAAAATTAGTGTTAAATAGTTTTAAATTAATTATTTCGAGTGTTAGTTTTGTATAACCTATAGAGTGTTAAACCCAACGGAGGAACAGCTCGCGGGTCTACTTAATCGCGCAGTGTGTGAACATTTTTCGCGGTCGGGACAATAGCGCAGTGTATGGACATTTTTCGCGGACGGGACAATGGCTCAGTGTGTGTGGACACTTTTCGCGGACTTCTGTGGTGTACGTGCGTGTGCGGATTAATTTCATGGATACTCGTGGACAGAACAATTGTTATACGTGAGAACTAGAGGGGGCATTAACCCTCTCTACTCGATAATATTCGTAAGAAGATATTTACATTTCTTGCGCATTTTATCGAGTAATCAGAGTAAATGCGATACAGGTGGATTCGACTCAAATACCGCGAGCACAAGTTATAGGCATCTTCTACGGGGTAAGTAAACAGCTGTTCTACCGACTTTTCCTGCACGTCGTTAAGTCTTTAAAGTGACTGTACGCCCCTAATGAGCCGTGATCCGCTGACACTCCGTGCGCGCGGATTGCCATGATTTGGGTCAATTTTTAAACGCTTCTAACTAATAAACGAAGCATTTTTCGCAATTTCGTTATTCTTGATTTTCGTCTTATTTTGCCTCAAAGAATCACCCGGTAAATTTTTTCCCACTAGTTGTCGAACGCCCTGTATAAATGATAATAACTTGGAATTTTATTTATGAACGGAAAGGCAAATATGTGCCACCCACCCTCCAAAGAATTTCAGCGCTGTATAATGACATTTTTTAAGAATACCAATAGTTTAGAAAAATATCAATTGCACTGATCTCACGGTTGTATACATCATCAACCTATAAAGCTGAGTATCTGTATAGAAGCATAAACATACCAGTGGCTAGCAGAACAGGGCCCTGCGGCAGTGGATCGTGAGTGCAAGAAGTCAGGGGTTCTGAGGTCGGTGTCGAATCACCTGGTGAAATATCCATATCCTGAGCTTGACGCTCCACTCCTGGATCCTCTCTACATTGTTCACGATCTCTTTCACGTTCCCGCTCCCTTTCACGTTCTTTGTCTCGTTCCCTGTCTCTGACAGAAACTTCTTCTCTACTGCTACCACCGCCACTTCCGCTGCACGAGCTCCAATACTCTCGTTTATCGGATTGACGGGATGATTTACCATCTCGCACACTGCTACTGCTATTCGACCGCGAGTTGGAATGTTTATCGTGACCTATAAGCAGAAACAATCGAAGAACAATACTTGTCTATATTGTATTGGATTTCAGACATTCTAACATCTTATGTAGGGGTCATTCTACGTGAAATCGGACACTTTTTGGAGCACCATTTCGGATTTTGTCCAAAGTTGGATATGTTATAGTCTTTAACGATATATAAACGTATCTCGAAGGATTTTTGAAAATGTTTAAAATTGTTGATTTTACAGCTGTTTGAAATTTAAGGTCAACCTTTTTTCAATAAATCATATTGAACTAAGATACTGATGAAAATGAGTTTTGCAGGTACTTACAGTGGAGACATAACAGTTTCTAATTAAAAGTATTTCAGTTAGAAGAAAATATTTTTTAACCATTTATTTTGTAATTGTTTTAAAGAAATGCAATTTTGTAATAGTAGGACCCAATTGAAAAATGTGAAGAAGAAATTGAGGATGTAGTCCTAATTGTCCTCTTTATGGACAAATTTTAAAAAATATGGATATTTAAAAAGTAACCATATGAAAATTGATTGAAGTTAATGCTGCGTCGAAATCCATCGACTCGCCCGGCCGAGCCTTACCGGCGAGCCTAGTACCACACGGCTTGGCCGCTCGAGCAGGTGCAATTCGATGCCGCGTTCACTTCAATTAATTTTCATACGGCCAATTCTAAAATGTCCACATTTTTATAATCATTTTTAAGTCCAAATATCATTTTTAACTGAAATAATTTGTAGTTGGTACTCTTATGTCTTCACTGTAACAACCTGCAAAACTCATTTTGATCAGTTTCTTAGTTTAATAGTTATGCTTGATTGAAAAAAGGTTGACCCCAAATTTCAAACAGCAGTAAAATCAACAATTTATAAAATTTTCAAAAATCCTTCGAGATACGTTTATATATCGCTAAAGACTACAATATATCCAAATTTGCACAAAATCCGAGATGGTGCTCCAAAAAGGGTCCAATTTCGCGGGGAATGACCCGTAGATATTTCGATTTTATTAGTTCTCTAATGAAACACTTAATAGTAAACACAAATTTCTACTTAATTCCATTATTTCCGAACTACCTAATCCACGGAAGTATGAATTCAGAAATAATGTAGGTTTCTAACACACATACACTGATTTAGAAAATTCTATGCATATTTAAAATAAAATATTAGTTGCGTGGTTTTTGAAGTCACATACTTTTAAAAGGACTATTTCAGATTTTAGAAGAAATTTTTTTGGGGGCGACATGTACGTCCGGACGCCAGAGCGTGTCGTGTATAGGCGACATCAATCAATCACATTTTATTTCACCAGTATGTTATTTGTGGTGTTACACTTCGCAAATAATGTCAAAAATATGACAAGAACAATAATAGAAACAGTAAAAAAATATCTCTTTGTTATCTTATGATCTCTCCCCTGAGTTAATAAATAGTAATCATTACTATAAATTTGTTCAGCTCCCTGGGAACATATGAAATTATATATACGCAGCGAACGTGTTAAACAGCAAAGTGTAAACTGGTAACAAATTCGTTATTTATCCAGTTTCATAATTACGCTATTACAATAAGTTAAATCTTGTATAAAATACATAATGATTTAAAAACGTTATATGCAGAAACAAAAGGTCCCACTTGTTTATTTTACAAATAAACAGATACTCTTATATTAGCTATTGTATATTACTTTAGTGTAAAAAATAGATAAAATGTAAATACTTGGTAGATATAAGAAATACTTTAATTAATTATTTTACGAATAAAAAAGTTGAATTTTAGATTTGTATAATTTGAGTAATCAGTGAGGAAAAAGGTGTTAAAAATAATACAGTCACTTTTTATGATTAATCACTTAACGCACACGCCCGGGACGTATATGGAAACGCCTGAATGGTGCATCTGTGCATGCCCGTGACGTACTCGGGCACAGCCGATGTGCTCGCTGCTGGACAGTTTACTTATATATTTTAACTATTTATCTCTATAGATTCCAGCTGCGATATCTTATATTAAAAAATATATATTGACCTTCTAACAGTATTCTCTGTATATTTAATGAATGAACAGTGACAAGTTTCACAGTTTTTATGATAATACCCTTGATTCATTCCTTCAGTCTTTGAATGAACAACATGCAGCAATCATCTTTTTTGTAGTTTCTTCTTTCTGATAGTTTCAGGCTTTATATTGGTGTATACAGGTCACACTCATGTACATTTTTAATTGTGTTTATCATTATAATAAATGTTAATACTCGTAAGAGAAGTAATATATGTTTATGCTCCATCTTGCTCTCCCCTTTCTTTATTTTGCTAGAAGTACTTTGTATGCCACTAATAATGAAACAAAAGTCCTATTATAGCCTCAAACTATAACTTTATGCAATAAAACAAAACATATAATTTTTTTATTGTAAATTATTTTTAAAAACGTGCGCGTTAAGGGGTTGAAATTAACAAGTGCGTTATTTAAACATTTGAACAGTATATTTGCAAGCAATAATTATATGTGCTGCTAAAGTAGTTCGGACATGATATCATAGGAAATTTTTCCTTTTTTGTGAGCTGTCCTATTATTGTTTAAACTATATTAAATTGTACCTAGGATACCCTTTATATTACTGTCACTATTAAAGATTAGTATCCACATAAAGGAACTCTGTAATAAGGAAATTTCTGTAGTGATGTAATATTGTTAGACGTACTTGACCTAGAAGAATAATCATTGGATTGACGCTGTCGATTATCCGTTCGACTGATCCATTCCCGTGGCTTCTCCCATTGAGAGACCTCCGTTTTACAGTTGTAATAATACTTCTTGCCCGAAGAACTCATATGTTCAGACCAATCGCCGAACCTGGCCGAACGTTCCATCGTACCTCCTCGTTCATCACCGCGTTTGTCCTAAACAGACTGTTCTAAAATGTCCGGAAACAATCGAATGGGTGGGAAAATATATATGTACATATTTATTTTATGTACAACATATATGTTTTATGTATACATATAGTTAATATACACATCCGAATTCTAGAACTTGTTCGAAAAACTAAAATTTATATTTGAGAACTTTTTAAAATTTACTTCTTATCTTATTGCAATAACCTAACATAATCGTGTATTCACAAGTACCTATGTGACTTTACTTAGAACATTTAATTGACTAGTTATTCACAATGTTTATTATAGTTATTTAATATTTCGTAATATTATGTTTATTGTTATTTCATGTTTAATGTTCAGTACAAATACTTTTGGATTTCATAAATACTTTGTTTTTTCATTAATTATTAGAAGATATTCACTGACCTGACAAGAATTATGAGACGGTTTTCTCTGAGATGAAGATTCCCGTGACGAATTTGATGATAATTTTATAGGATGTAAAATCTGTAAACACACAACAAATTTATAGAAATACATATTAAATGTACAGCGCAATACCTACAGTAAACAGAAAAAGGATTTGCACACACAATTCTTTTATAAGTAAGCAATGGATTGAATACATTTATAACATATTCGATTGTTTAAAGCTCAACATATTAAGATGTTCATTGAATTTACTAAGATTACTATTTTATTCAAAACATAATAGAACCCTTTATAATTAATAGAATAAACAAATTTCTGTTCAATTCCGATTTTTATAAAATAGGCAAAGGAGATTTATATTTGCATAAATATCTATAATCTATATACATCTAAGATAGATTTATGATCTAATATTTATTCAAAAATCCATAAGATTAATTTAGAAGAATGATTGTGTGTAAATACTTATTCCAAAAGATGCATATTTAATATTTATACTTTAACAATATGCATTAATTAATGCAAGAAATTGCTTTAAAAAAAAATTGAATAATAAAGAAGAGCTGTGACCATATCAATATTATTACACTGCCCATAATTGTACAAGGAAAATCTCAAAATAACTTTAACTCAAAATAAAAGCAGGAATTAAAAATTTGTTCCTAAAACTTTTACATCAATAATATATTACTGGCTGGATACTGGTACATGTGTATACATTGCGTATTTTCCATTTAAGTATAATTCCAAAGGATATAATGAATATTATTGTGAATAAATATTCTCTAGGAAGTTTCTCAATAAAAAAAAGTCCTATTAATTAATACAGTTGAAATTAAAATGAAATAATTTTTTCTGGTTATAATAAATTCGTGTCAGAAAAGATTAATATATCTGATTACGATTATAACGATAGACAGGAAATTTTTTTTTAAGATGGAAAACTCAGGCATAATTTAAAAACGAAAAACCAATATAATGAAAAGAATTAGAAGAAAGATAGTATATTTATTATTTTTTGGATGAGAATTTTGTAGAAAATCTAATAATAATTACAATTTATTCATTAGAAATGTCAATCTGAAATTATTCCACAACTATATATTTTTAAATTACACACGAAACAGCATTTGTTACAGAATTGAGAAGTACGATAAGCAGAATTTGCTCTACTTCAAGTCTAAATAAGTCAAAATAACTAAGATAAAAAATTGATTGTTTTTACCTCTCCACTACTCCTATCGTGGTTGGTCCTGTGTTCTGAATCTCTGCTTTCACGACTTCTCTTGTCTTTTGGGGATCGTGCACAATCTACACATATGCAAGTAATCATGTTAAAGCTGAAAATGTTAAGACATTGTCCTGTTTTTATATTGATGGAGGACAATTTCGAACTTTTAATTCTCGATTCTGTCATAGCCCAGACACATTGTAAACAGTTTTAAAAATGAAAACTATTCTAAACCAGAAGAATACAGAAGAATCTTTTAATACTTGGTTTGTATCTCCTATACACTCTATTTTAATGATGTATAATTCAATTTATTACTGATGTAACCAAAATAGTTATAAAATTATACTTACTGACACAATCATAGAATTTAGGGATTGTACAATGAATAATATTGCATCTTTCATGATAAAACAGCTTTAATGTAAAGTATAATGGAATACTAATAGATAATAATCGATAACTATACTAAATGATAATACTAATAGATATTATTTAATTCTATAAATGCCATGCTACACTACTAGTGTTATTAGTAATATTCGAAAGACCAGAATTGGTCTTTTTTAAGGGTACCAGATAAACTTCTAAAAATATAATGTTCTCGTTTCAAATCTAAAGATTACAAATAACAGTTCCCTAATAATTCAACTATATGATGTTACTTGTTTTGCTCATGCAAAGTTTAATTTTGTATAACGTGGAACAGTTTTGTTCTGTAAAAATAAAGTTAATATGTAAATTAATTCTTATATTATTTTCATACAATGTATAAGTTACATATTAAGATCTTCATACAATGAAGATAATAGTTTTTAGTGAATTGAAATTTTTATCTTTCACACCATTATTCAATGCACTTTTCCAATAACTCTGAATTATAGTAAAAATGACTCTATTACTTGTAGTCATACAATTATATTTACAAAAGTTTTCAAAGTTTTCCCACACACATTTAGAACACTTCTTGCTGCTATTACATTTGCTAAAACTTGTATCATGCTTATTAATTTAAAAGAACTGTGAAAATTAATTACCAGAATACTTGTCCCTAGAAGAGGATAACTTATAGTCTCTATTTTCTCTCTCCTTCTTGTATAGGGGCTTGGACGTATAGCTTCGAGGACTATCCCTGTCTGTTCCCATGCCCATACCCAAGCCCGTCGCTGGACTATATGAGTTTCCATTTGGGGAATCTCGCATACGACCCTCGTAACGACTGTCTGATGATGTCGTCGATGAGGAGTAGCCACCCTTAGAACTGCTGTACTTTGAGTTCTGTAAATATACAATTTTCTTCATGTTCAATAGTTGTTATCATATTTATGATGTTTGCAAGCATGTAACATGCAATGAAACAAAAACTGTGAAAAATTACTAATATATTCTTGACTTAATAAATTTGTTAATTGTTAAACTTCATTTACACACTAATATCAACAATCTACTAACATATAATTTAGTGCATAATTTATTCATTTATTTGTAAATGACATAAGATAAAAAGTGAGATTAAAAATTTACTATAGCCTTGTTTGTCTAATAAATCTTATGTTGCATAAATATTTCAACAACTTCTTTGAAGTAATTATTAAAATTAACATTACAAACTTATCGTTCGTAAAGAAAAAGAGGAGGAAAAATAATGATTTTTTATTAATAATCTATATTGATTATAAACTTGTTAAATAATGTATTACATGCAAAATAATTATTATTTTCAGAAATATTAACTATTATTATATACAAATTGAGGAAATGAATATGTACTGGAATATGATTGTCTGATTGGAAAAACATCTGGAAACAAAATTTTCTTTGTTTTGAGTATAACATTATTTAACAATTATTGTTTCTATAAAAAATACTAAACGATGTTATTACTCCTTACACAATTTTTGTGGAATAAATTCCATAACTTTATATAAGTACTATGTATATACCAAATACAATTTATTATTTGTATTATGGTTTTTACAAATCAAAAAATTATTATTGAAATTGTAACTTTTATAAACAAATTTCTGTTACAATGTACATATAAAACTGTCAGTGCACTGCTAGTAAGCTGCATAATAAGGAATGAATTATTGATTTTTTGAAAGATAGGTTATGTTGACAAGAATAATTATTTAAAAACAAATTTTACAAGACTCTATCTGTTGCTTAAACAATAAAAGACAGAAATGATTAAACCATACTTATGACACACAATATTGAATTGAACACATTTTTTAAAATCAACGTCATATTCAATGGCTATTACAAATTCTTCAAGAAAAATATGACCAATAACTTCTGTTTCAATATTTATGGTTTAAAGTAAAGGAAAAGTTTGTATATCATGAAGTTTTGTTGCAAACATTTGATAAAAGTGGAATATTGGACATTTAATGATTTTTTAGTTTTTGAAAATGCTGTAACGAAGAAAAAAATAACTGTGATATATTATGTATTTGTAATGAGAGAATTCTTTGTTAGAATTAAAGTGTATCCAATATTTCTAGTGCTTTTGTTTTGCAGGATATTTCGCACTTCCAAGTTATATTATACATTTTATACAAAATAAGTGTTGTAAGTGAGAATATAATGTAAACTTTTTAAAACTTATTTTTAAGCACTTTTCAAATGCACATGAGTAAGTAAGAAATATGCATAAGTAAATCATATTAAAAACACAGAAAACAATGTAAACAAAAATAGAACAATAATGATTTTAAATAGATACTGAATATCAGATTAAAAGTCTGTATTAATTAAAAATACTTCCTAAGGCCAAATCTCTTCAATTGTAATAAATTGTAACTGCAATTAAAGTTCTTGATCCTGCAATATACTTAATACAAAATAAATTCTTTAAGTTTATTACCCTTTACCAAGTTTCACTTGAGATCTTGGTCTCATTTTGATGATTCAAGGCTAAAGTATAAGATTATGACCAATCAAATACATTATAAATTGATGTTTGCAACAGATGAAAACAGTTTTTTCAAAACCACTTCACTCAATGCTAATAAACTATAATTTCAATCCAGAGTCTCAACAACTTGATACATTAAATACACATAATATATTCTTTATTATGTTTTCTTCTACAGTGTAGTAAAAATCTTATTCTTCAGTTTATATGATTGAAGACTACATATGTAGAATGTTCTATCAAGTAGATTAAACCCATAATTAAAGGAAAATATGTTAACCACTCATGCAAAGCTATGATAGTTAAGTTTTTATGTTACACTAAGATGGCACTATTAAGAGATTTGGCTACCGAAAATACGATTTCGAGTAATTCTATTTGAAAATGTACTCATCTCTAATGCAATCGCACCGTGAACGAGTTACCCCCCTCCGAAACCCATGAGATCAATTGGTCGAATGATATTTACCTGATAGGGATGGGCCTGGTGCTTTTCGAAGTACCTGAAATCATAAGAAATAAAGAGTGCGTAAGATCATATGAGAATAAGTATAGGGAAATGGTGAATAGAATGTCCATTGAAAATGATCTCCCGCGAATGGCGGTAGCAGTGATGTCGACGAATAGGTCAGACGGACGGACTTTGGGTGATGAGAGGTGAGGCGAGTATAGAGGTTGGTTGTGTCAGGATTGGATATTTGACGGCGGTACCCTACCCATCGCTGATCCTTTGCGGTTTCCTCGCATGCATTACCATCAATGCCGGTGTCTGTGGGAAATTCGCGGCCTCGGATGTTCCCTTTTTCGGTCGGTTAATGTCATAAAAACAACATTAACGCTTATTTAACAGTCAACTTTCTTTCTACCCGGACGCCATGTCACATACGTGATCGGCCGCTCACGGTCTCTGTAGACGAAACGTTACGGCGACGTCTGCGCTTCGATGTACCTACGGTACACACACTTCTCATTTCAGGGCCGTCGTATGTGTATATGCGCATGTATACTGAATGTCGTTATTCTCATGAAAATTACATACTTTTTATCATAATTCTATGTACTAGATACTATTTACTATAATGTACTGCATATGTTCGTATATTTATATGTTACATTAAAAGTTTAGGTACATGTACAAATAGATGAATATAATATTGAAGGAAAGACGTATTATTATTATTACTACTGTATATAATGCAAAATACGTTCACATATATGTAGTTGTTGTAATACCGCAATGTGAATATTAATAATCTATCAATGAATATATTATATATATATATATATTTGGATATTACACGTATAATATATATTAATAATAACACATTAATGTTATTACTAGTATTATTAATAATTGTTAAATATACTTACTGCACTCCACTCTCAACTTGATTTGGTATTACATTTTCAATGGGTTCCATGAATGATAGAGCCATACCTGTACCCTGCAAAATAAGCAGTGTAGACAGTGTAGTTCGTAATGCTGTATTCACGGCGGCGGTGTACAAGCGTTGACGCGAGGAGTTGTGTTTCGTTCGATTTCTGAGAATCGTCGTAAGTTTCAAGTGATTCGATAGTAGACGGCACAGGCCGTGGCGAAATTGAAGTGCAGAACCGTGCATTGTTACGAATACAAAAAACTGAAGCGATGAAAATGTTCATTTCGGAAAAAAAGAGATCGACATTCGTACTCGTTTAGGGTATGTAATAGTATAGTAGTGTGCGATATAACAACACAACAGTAGGGAAGAGTGGGGGACTTTCAGTCCCTTGACATGCTTCCGAAAAACAATCCAGAAACCTGTGCACTCTCCTTGTTGACTGTTATCCTTCCAGATTTTCCGCGTGTTGTGTTCTAACACGTGTTTATTATCAACGATCCTGGACGTTTTGCTAAATGTTGCATCAACATTTGCACAATCGTAACGTAATTATTTAATCTGATTTTCTGTACTACGTTGTTGGATCCGCCCTAAGAAATGTAGGTATATAGTTCTGCCCTCCTTAGTTAAAATGTCCTACCTAGCAAATTATTATTTTTCAAAGTTTTTCGAAATATTTGGAACTACATATATTGACCCCAGAGCCAGAGGTATTAAGTCACACTTTTCAAAGTTTAGAGGAGAGCATATCAGAGGTGCGAAAACCTTGTAACTTTTGGAACCATTCAGTGAGAATCGAGCGAGAAACAATCACTACCTTGGAACTATTGAATGGATTTAAGACAAGTTTTTATATGTAGAATTAATTCCTCTATGTGATGGGCTTTGCACTGTTTTAAAAATATGAATTTACTATCATGTTTAGATCATTATGTACCTATATTAACTACTTTGAACAAAATAATTTTTATGTGAAATGTCATTTTTTTAAAAAGTGGACTTAAAATCTGGCTCTAGGGTCCAAATATGTTTTTTACTTTTTAATTATAGTTAGAATGTCCCGTCTGCTTTGTAGAACCCTACAAACAATCTAATTTATTTAATGTAACTGCTATTCAGATGATTTTACCAGCTTAGATTCTCCTATGTAACATCTACGAAGTTAGATTATCATAAATTATCACTTGAATTTGAAAATTTAATTAGGAGATTAAAGCCAATCATGCCAGTAAATTCACTTGCTCTTTGGAAATCATTATCAATTTCTAACAATAGTAATGACAATTATAAGTGTTATGTTTAAATTGCTTATGTCTCAGTTATGTATGTTCAAGTTGTGTATAAAAAGCATAAAAACATGATTCAAATTTTTTCTTGTATTAAACTGTCCTATGATAAAAGACAAGGACGGCACAAAGAAAATTATAAAACCTTTTCTTTCTCAGGTGTTTGAAAATATTAGTTAGGACAATTGAAGGAGGACAAAATTGGTACTTATCTCATTTCTGTATCATGCAAGCACCAGTGCCTTTGGCAGATCTTGTCACAAATATTTCGGTAAATATTTAGAATAGGGAAGACAGCTCTGATGACCTTGAACTTGACATATATTGTCAAGGACACCCTCCTCAGTGACCTGCAGGACGTTTTAGCCGCCGCTCGTTTTTGGTTAAAAAGTAAAAAGTTATAAACAAAAAAGTATGCAAAATGTAGCAGTTATTTGGAGTATTGAAGGGAACCAATGACCTTGACTTTAACATTTGTTGTAGATGTCACTTTCCTGAGTGACCTTGGAAAAATTTTAGCAGTCGTTCTTTATATGTTAGAAAGTTATTAACAAATAAATTTTGCTATCCAAGGGTATATAATTAACTCCATAACTTAAATGTTTCCTAAATACATAGTCCTTGCGATTATTGACTCTTTATTGATATGCGATTATTGTCCAGGCGTCATCTCCACCACTGGGGGGGGGGGGGGGGGGGGAAACTCGGAAACCGCACACTTTGTTGCCACAGCGAGCCGAGACTGCTTCCCATTCACGAGCCGACGATTGAACGTTGGGAGCCCACAAAAAAGTTACATTCCCGAGTGTCGGTGAGACAATACTAATACGACGCAGTTTGGCTCATATTTACTTATGATTTATCAGAATCGATAATGAATGAACTAATATGAACTATTAACAGTTTCTACATGAGTAAATATGATCAAAATTATGTCATATTTCGTATCATTTTAATCAGAAAAATCTCACCAATATACTAGTAAAAGTTTCATTAACAACGAATCAAAAATAAAAAAGTTTCATCGTTGCATTAGCGTTTTCTCGCGCGTCGGGCAACAATGTATGCGCTCGATGGACCGCCGAACGGAGCGGGGGACTGTACGACGATTGTGGTTTGCTTCACGAAAGAAGATGCCTGGGAGGTAGGCCCGACTTTTCGCGGTTGTTACGAGCCAGGACTAAGCGGCTGCGAGAGCCGAGGTAATGTCGAATTTGGTTTTTTAGAGTTTGTTATGTGGACGAACCTGTGCCAATTTCATCACAGGGAGTCACTGGGATAGGTTGTCGTGGACGAACCCGAGCCTATTTCATCTCAGGGAGCCACTAGGATGGTTTAGATGTCGTGGACGAACCTGTGCCTATTTCATCACAGGGAGCCACTAGGAGGTTGATAGTCGTGGACGAACCTGTGCCTATTTCATCACAGGGAGCCACTAGGGGGTTGATAGTCGTGGACGAACCCGAGCCTATTTCATCTCCGTATGGGCCTCGTAACTTTTAAGAATTCGGTACACATCGAGCGGTAAAAGTGTGCCTTTGTGGGTTCGCTTCTAGTTGGGAATTTAGATGTTATTCTAGAGTTGAAATGAACAACACTGAATTATAAATATATGAACGTATAAAAGTATATTCAATAAAATAAAGGTTTTACAAATGGTACTGTAAAGTGTAGTCGCGGAAGCTAATTCCAACGTTCTCGGTTTTCACGCACTAAGAAATGCGGCGTTGTGTCGTACAAAGTTTAAGCTTACTTTTGAAAATGCTTGAAAGGGACTTTAATACCCGATGTCACTAGCTAGACTTCTAGTATGATTATGAACCACCGATGAGCTGTACGCGTCCCTTTTTATATCCCGCAAATCGAGTCTAAAAGTAGTGGGGGACACGCCTGTTCTCAACGGAAAACTGTTTTCCAAGAAAATCTGGCCACGCCATAACACCCCGTGGGCAATTACGTAATCTTGCCGGATGCATTCCATCTCCGATCGCGAGAAATCTACGGCACTTGTGTCTCTCTCACTCTTCGCGTCTTGGCAAATGACGTTCGACCGTCGACGTGCGTCCTCGTCTACGGTCGTCTGTCTCCATCGCACGTATTACAAACCTCTCGAGGAGGACCTACCTACAATCTCAAGTAGTGGGGACTGCGTTCGGCACGCGCCCGTCAATCATCCATTGTCTGGAAATGGCGGAGAATGTTGACGAGACGCTGAACGTTTTCACACGTCAAGAGTTAAAATACATGAACAAGAAAAAGTTTCTTTCTTTTGAAAGAATGTATTGTACCAAAATATTGAGCAACATATTAAAAGGGGATTAAATTAATACGTAGGTTATTAAACGCTACACGTGGAAATCGCAGGATAAAGAAGGAAGTTGGTTTACCGAGCTTCTAAGCGAGAGGCTCTCGTGCCAAAGTGCCGGAGGATGGAAGGAGACACACCGTGGCATTGAGACCGTGACAACGTCGCACGAAATACGCAGCTCGCGTTGGATCCTCACCAGGCCACGTGCCGAGGCAGGCTTACCTCCGAAGCATCTTCTTTCGTGAAACAGACCATAGTCGAAGCGTTCAATCGTCAGCGACTGCCCAGAGAGCTGCCGATGAATAAAATGTAGCTGGATCACCTTCAGTCACACGTATTTTTATTATTGGCCGAAACGGTACAAACACAATCGGACTGTGTGGTCGGCTATAATGTAATCATTGGTCGGCGAGAGTGCCGCAGGCGGGCCACGCAGCCGAGTCTACTGGGAAAAGAAGCTTTCTCTCTGTTTGTCACTGGCTTGTCCTTTTCTACGTTCGGAATACTACAAAGGCCAGTTACCGAGGCTCGACTTTCGAAAAAAACGTATTCACGGGGGTCAGAAGCGTTTCGCGTAGTCCACGTTCATCATCCCCTCGTGGACCCGAGTTAGGGGCGATAATCAAGAGCACTCTGTAGTATAAGCATTTTATTATTAATACATCTGCTTTTACAAGTGATTGCACGGGTGGAGGGGGGCTCCGACCTTCCCACCGTACCCACACCCCGAGCAAAATCTATCTCTAACCTGACCCGATGATTGAAATGAGATTTCGGTTAGGTTATAGCTACATTTATGGTCCGCTGCGGCTCCCAGGGGAGGTGATCGCCGAACCCGACCACGTCTCTCCTAGAGGTCGGCTAGAACGGCCTCCCCATGTATCTCTGTCGGAGTCCCGCGAGGCTCCCTCCTTCTCCTGAAAACGGGGGGTAGTGTTAGATTTGTACAAATTTGGGTAACAGAGGGTGGGGGGGCTCCTGAAGTATTCGGGACGTAGGCAGGTCAAGATACACAGGGGGTTGCGAATATTAGGCGATACAGCTCTCTCTCGATGATGGAACGTACAAAAGCACGATATGGCCCGCCCGTTGGTACAGACTCGGTCTGTGGGTGAAGCAAAGAGTGAAGCTGGTACTCACTATATGGAGACGAAGGATCGGTTGCCCCGACGTACATACTCCATTCTCGTTAGGTAGGGATGGGACGATCCTAGTGACTCTCTGACCTCCAGGCAAGTAGCATCTCGCCTTCATGCGGCCCGGGCCTAAAAAAGTTGGTCGGGTGCGAAGAAGCCGGGGGAATCCTTATCCCTGGGTAATGCCCACCCCAGTCCTATTGCAGGGCTGGTGAGATGGCCACAGGCGCTCAAACTAAGCCACGGCCGGGCCTAGGGGGGGAGGATTTCAAACTCCCCGCTCCCAGGAGAACGATCAAAATCTAATCTAATCTAGGTTATAGCTAGATTTTTTCTCGGGGGGTGCAGGTGGAGCCACGCATTTCATAAGCATTTTCAATATAATTAACAATGTTACCCCCGTCAATGCAATTACTTACAGAGGCAGGGATTCTAATAATATAGAGTTTATACTAGGTAAAATTCATAAGGGTGAGGCAATAACTATTACCACGTCAGATATCTTCGGAACTATAAGGTTCACAGAAATATTTGTTTGATGAATCGGTATGTTTTTGTTTTCATAGAATGATAGAGGAGCTTAAAACGACTTCAACGACCTATTACATAAGATCATAGTAGGTGTTCGAAATGATGGCCATCACTATCAATGCAACACTGGATTGTTTTTATAACTGATTGGCGTGTAAGTCTTACAACGTCAGAACTTATTGACGCACAGGCTGCAATAATTCGCTGTTGCATGTCTTGAGGTGTAGTCGGTACTTGTTTGTACACTTTATCTTCCAATGTTCTCCATAGAAAGGAATTTAGAGGTGTCAAGTGTGGTGAACGAGCTGGCAATGATATTGGACCGCCGCGTCCAATCCAATGATTTTGAAATTTGTCATCAAGTCTCTTTCGCACAATCAATGAATAATCTGCTGGGCATCCATCATGTTGATACCACAATTTTGTTGTCACAGGTTTGTCGTGTAAATGAAGGCAATTCTTCTAGCAAAGGACCCAATGTATCCTTAATAAAATTGGCGTAGGTGTCGCCATTCAAATTTCCATTGATAAAATGAGGAACAATCATTTTTCACTTGTGATACCGCACAATACGTTCACAGACCATTGTCTCTGGTGTTCAACCGGCTACAGCCAATGTGGATTTTCCGCTGCTCATAAATGCATGCTATGCAAATTAACATTCCCGTGATTTGTGAATGTTGCTTCATCAGTAAATAAGACGTTATTATGAAATAACTCACTATTTTGAACCTGATGTTTAGCCCATCGATAAAATTCAACGCGATTCATGAAGTCATTCCTCTGCAATTGTTGGTGAAGACTACCATGGTAGGGATGAAACTTGTGACGGTGTAACATGGAAACTACGATCTTCCTACTAATGCCAGATTCGCGTTCAATTTGTTGCGAACTATTATGTGGATTTGTAGCCACACATGCGAACACACCGATTTAATTTTCTTCATTCGCTTTCGGCGTTCACTTTTACGAACACTTAAACTCCCGGTTTTGCCTAAGTTTATCACACACATTTTTAAATGTATGACGCTAAGGCTGAGACCGATGCGGACGTCGTTCAGCATACAAATTGTTTGCCCTTACAGAATTTTGTTGGCAATCGCCATGAATAAGAAGCATATCGACTTACTCTTCAAACGGATACATCGTGCCCGGTTGACCGATACGATACTGCTCTTATCATGTTTATTTTATTTTGCAATCGTCAATTCATGTTTATCTTATGAAAGTGTCCTTCAAACAGTGTTTATTGCCAGTGAAATAAATCGTAAGCATCATCGTTTTTCTGTACTTTCTATGACCTTCAATGACCTTATGTAATAGATCGTTGAACTTGTTTTAAGCTCATCTATCATTCTACGGAAACAAACACATACTGATCCATTTAATGTG